AATGAGTTTGTTCTTTTAAATAATTTTTGTCTATCTAAGCCAACTGTCCGAAAAATGCATGGTAAACATTGGGGACTGAAAATTCTTGGATCGAAATTTCCGAAACCAAAAATTCCTATATTCCTATCTTGGACCAAAAACTCCGGGACAGAAAATTTTGAGACAGGAAATTCCTATGTAGTGAAATCTGGGACCGAAAACTCCAGGACCGAAAATCCCGTGACCGAAAATTCTTAGATTCATGATTGGACGTTAGTCTAAATTGGTCGGTATGAGGATGTGTATTTTAAATTGTTTTTATTAATTTTATTTTTTAAAGTAACTCCAAGGGGAGGTCTATGTACCCAAAAAGAGGCCTCTTTACCAATATACAACACTTTCTTATGGGTTGAAGCAGGGATATGCAAAGAACCTCAATTTTTTCAACTTTTAATTATTTTCGGTTATGTCGATTTTTTAAAAATTTATACCAAATAAAAGTAATTAGTTACCGCATTGAATAAAAATTTAAAAAATAAAATTTTAACATTTTAAATAAAAGCGATAAAAAATCACCCTCCAACTCCCCTCCGGAAAAGAGCTCCTTGTTCGACCGTTGAAAGTGAGCGAAGGCCGTTATATTTATTCTAGTTATATGAGTAAATCTTAAAGCATTCAATAAAAACTGCAATAAAAATTTTACTTTTATTCGTGAAAAAAATGTAAAGAAACATCGATTTAGGTTCAGTGAAAACCGTTAAAGGCGTCAACAAAATTACGCTTTTGATAAACTTTGTGTTTTTAATATTTTTTTAAATTAATAAATTCTTCCTACTATTATTATTTTTATTATTATTCAAATTTAGGATTGAAGAATGAATTATAGGTAATTGAGAATTTAAAACTGATGAAGGCTACACTAACACCACCATGGCTGATCAGTAAAGAATTTGTCGATGTATCATTATAAAAATTAGAAAAAGATAAAATCGAAGGAAAAGCAATGTTTAAAAAAATAGCTAAAAAATATGCAAACTATAGACAAATATATACTGATGAATCAAAAATCAGCAATTCAACAACAGCAGCGGCTGTCATCAATCATAAAGTTACACTCTGCTACATCAACCAGATCCAACATCTATATTCACAGAAGAACTAATAGTCATGCACATGAACTTAACTATTAATACTTACCATAACCATATAACGTTATTAAACAATCTGTAAAACACTACATCTTCAAAAATGGCAGTTACACTGGAATGATTACAAATACGTCATCCATCTAACCACAACAAAATTAAAAGGATAACAACAAAAATCATTAACAAACATATTTTTACAACAAAATTAAACAGGATAAAAATAAGACACACAAATTTAACACGCTTGTGCATACTCAATTAAAAACCATATCCAAATTGTGACGAATGTAATAAAAGTGTTTCAATGCAACACGTTCCATTGGAAAGTAAAAAATATGACCAACTAAAAAAAAATATCACATTCAAATTTTGTTTCAAGACCAGAATATCACTAATAAATACTTCGTCTTTTTTGTAGAAATAGAGGAATCATCAACAACAAAAATAAATCAGGAACGAAGATTAAATTAAATCAACAAAATCAACATCATCAATAATGACGATAATAACAGCCAAAAAACACTGACAACATAGTAATATCATTAACAATCAGATGCGAATCAAAAGACACACAAATTCCAGTGGCGAAAAACAATCAAACAAATTCGCGTTTTAAAATTTAGTTTAACGACACATTATTAAAAATTCTTATGCAGAATAAATACGAGCTTCTGTGTAACTTCTTTGTATTGAGGTCTGTCTCATAAAACCAATAAATTCCTTTTAATCTAACAATTCAAATCAGTGCTTGTCAACAAAATTAATAAATTCACGATAAACGAATTTAAAACAAATCAAATCAATATATATATATATATATATATATATATATATATATATATATATATTATATAATCTTTTAATGGCCGTTTAATTTTAAAGACTCTTTTCATTTTCTATCAATAATTTAAAGTTTTTTAACAACAAACTAAAAATCAACAAAATTATTATTATTAATATTATTATTATTATTCATTTTTATTTTTATTATTTATACGTAGCATCATAAACGGGAAAAGTAACACAATGATTAAATTTTTTTCTAAACTTCTAGTCTTGATTGTTGATAGCAAAAATACTTGTCTCATTTAGTTTTAGTAATCGGTCAACAAACTTAAGTGCGTGGTGGAGATGTTTTACAAATAACTGATACATATGAAATATTCCAGCCTATCCACCACGCGTTGCTGCGATTTTCCGAAAAACCCGTTATGATAAAAAACGATTTCGCAATTTGCAAACTTGAAAATCACATTTGTGTAAAAAAACAAAAGACAGAGAGCGTTTTCATTCAATTTTCTCTCTTTTCTTATATTCAGTTTTGGGCCGTTATTTGTTACATCAATCTTTTTTATCAATTAAATGAACAAAATTATTTGCAAATCGTTTAGTCTCCCAAATCACCGTTTAAATAGGATTAGAGTAAAATCCGTTTTTTCTTAAGCTCCTGCATATCAAAATAAATAATTCTAAATTTCAACTCAATCAAACGTTTAGTTTCGAGATCTCTTGATGAGTCAATGGTAAACTGTTTATAACCATCATGTACCTACCAAACCTACCAAATGTGCTGATGTTATAATTTGTAAAATAACTAATTTTATTTAAATATATTTTAACGTGTGACTGTGTAATGGCGTGTATTTCAAAAAAGGTTAAAGGTCAATTACACTCTTCCAAAGTTTAAAAGACTCAACAACACACACAAACATCGTATATGAATACATGCTAAACGACTCATCACACAAGAATCATGCGATAGGCGGGATCATTTTGTCATATTCGAACCCGGTTACTGCGAAACAGTACCTGGTGACTTTAACCACTAGGCTATCACGCCATTAACTCCAGGCTAACTCCTAAGTTGCAGTGCGCATGCTTAGGTACACAAACAAACGAAAAATCTTAATGCATTCTTCTCAGCATATGACCACTTTACAATCATCTGCATATCGACATCCTAATGTTTAAATAATGGATTAAATCAAATGCATCAGTTCAGGGTGTGAAGGTTGAAGGTGCTGTCGTAAGAAAACCTGACTTGAAATGAAGTCAACCACACACACACATACACACACACATTCACACACACACTCACACACAAACACAAACAAACAATTACAAGAAATATCGTTCTCCTGCTTTCTATATCAGAAGAGTGCGTGTAGGATAGGTTTACAAAGGCAGAAATCGTGCTCACTAGATATGTTTGACAACAATTACTTCTGATATAGAAAGCAGGAGAACAGAACTAGATAGAATCACTAAACTACTCATTAATAATGGATATAAAAATGTTATGATCCAGAAAATAATAAAATGCAAAGAACAAAAAATCAGCAACAACAACAATGCAACCAACAATAGTAACAAAAACAATATAGTAATATATTATAAAAATCACATGTCAACTGCTTTTGAACAGGATAAAAAAATTATGAAAAGAATCATAAAAAATAACGTCCAAGCAACCAGCGAAAATGGTAGTTTTAAATTACGAATATACTACTCCAACCAATGAATGTCATCCTTGTGATGAAAAACAACTGCACAAGTAAACTAGAATCGATAATTGATCATAGCCATCTAATATATTTGTTCAAATATAATATTGGTGAGTGTGGGCACCATAATTCTGAATATATTGGTATGACGACGACCAAAGTTATCGAGAAGACTCATGATGCACGTACAAACTGGCGCTATAAAGAATCACATGAAAGAAAAACACAAAACTAAAATTACTAGAAAAATTTTGGACCACAATGTTGAAATCCTACATTACAATAACAACAATTATAATTTACGACTAGCCGAATCAATACTCATAGAACAAAGACACCGATAACAATTATTCAACAACGGGCAATTGGACTTCTTCCTACCAAAAAATTTAGAAACAGAAAAATCATCGATAATGAAAACACGTAAAAGTGTTATATTTAACTAAGTCGAAGATTGTTAAACTAAGTATTCACTTTACACAAACAAGGAATCAACAAAGTAGAGTAGAGGCACAGTGTAGCATCTGGGCACAAAAACAACATATTAATTTGAGTACCGATGATGGTATAGAAATACCGAAAAAAGCTTTTCTGTTCTATCATGCATAAAATAAAAAAAATTTTGTTTTGAACTAAAGAAACTTGAAAATGAATTAAGATCAACCGTAAGAAAAATCGAAAAGTTAAACAGGAAGTTAACTAATGCCGAACATGCTGTGATTTTCATCAATGTATATATGTATGTATATATATATATATACATATACATATATATATATATATATATATATATATATATATATATATATATATATATGTGTGTGTGTGTGTGTGTGTGTGTGTATGTGTGTGTTTGTGCACGTGTGCGTGTCTGTTTTGTGAGTGTTAAGAGCATTTCAAAAATAATTTTAAAGTAATCAGTGATCACACTGTTTATTAAAGGCTAAATTAAACTGATAAAGATGAAATGAATTAAAATAATAAAAAATATCATTAAAAACAAATTATATAGAAGATGAATAAACATTAAAAAATTTACTTTGAACTCCACTATTTTTTAATTTGAAAATAATAAACTAATGAATACAAATATTAAAAGTTCAAAGTCATTTGTTAAATACCATTTTAATATTTGTTTTTATCAAATAAAATTTACATAACTGGGGTTTTCTTTATTTAATTAATAGTGTATATATATATACATACATATATATATACATACCTACAAACAAACGAACATACATACAAGCATAGATTTAGTAAACAATCAATATGTAGTGCAGTTGTTCACATGATGTTAATTGAAATTTTTTATATAAAGCCGTCCGTTTGTACTGTTGCTAAAAGCTTATACTTGGTTTGTAGTATCTGAAGAGATCTTTAGTTAACGAAAACTAAAACATAAAAAGGTTAGAAACTTTTAATTTTTCATTTGTTTTTCTTTGTATGAAATGGCTAAATTGGATGTTAAGTTTCAACATGTCGAATGCCGCCGGGCGAAACTTAAAAGCTGCAATAAGACTTGTGCGTATGTGGTGTCGGTATATGTTTAGAAAATTTGATTTTTATACGTCGTGTGTGTAATGCGAATGAACGAGGAATATTCTATGTTGCACTTATTACTGGCTGCACAGATTCCTGGCAAATGGAAATAAATTAATCATTAAAATAAATTTACGTCTTTTGTAGAAAACTTTGAGGAAATATTTCAGTGCAGTTCTTTAAGTTTTATTTAGTATTATAATGTATGACACAAATGATAGTAAATAAATTAAATAATAATTGGTTTTTAAATGATACAACTTGAATTAATAATAAAATTGAATGCAATATGTCATGGGAAACGATATTTTATTTCATTGTAAAATTTTAATTTTATAAAAATTCAATACTTTATTTAGTTTTCACCCAGTAAACTTACAAAATGACATTTTTCAACAATTTTCTACATGATTTTTCAACAGATGTTCAAACTCGTTATCCTTTCGTTGTTCTCGGCCGTTTTGGCAAGAAATATCTACTGGCAGCACGAGAGAGACTTCCAAGAAGTTCTTGACGTGGAAGTCGAATGGATGAAATTTAAATCATTACACAGTTAGCATTGATATTTTTTTAATAAATGCCTACACATTTCAACCGCACGAAATTTAGCACTCTCAATGCACGCGCATTATCTGGTCTTGCCTGAAAATACAGGAACGTAAGGCATAGATGTTACCACGAACAAAAGCAGAATTGTTGGGAATTGCATGGAATTGTTATACTAATTGGTGAACCCTATTGAATGCAATATGGTTATTTTAACATTAAAATATCTAAAATGGAAATTAGAATGAAAAAATTATTATATTAATATTAATCTTCAACTTTTTCATCTATTTTTATTTATTTTAAAACTTGTCACAAAAGTTTTTATTTTCATGATCTAAAAATTCAGGTTAAATTCTTAATATCAGACTATAGCAATATTTAGGAATTAAATTTGAGACACAATGTTAGACACAATGAGAAACAATACTAAAGTTAACAGGTTTTTATTTAAATTTTGGACTGAGAAGAATGAAAGAAGCAAAAAAAAAGCAAAAGGAAGTTAAAAAAAAGAAGTGAGAATATTTGGGGTGGTCAAAAACCAAGAGTTATTGATGGGGTTTCAATCATGACCTACCCCTATCTAAAAATGTTATAAAATTAGTTTTTGACAATTGTTTAAAAAGAAAAAATTGTGTTAATAAAAATTGCAGAAATGTAAGCAAAGTGAATAGATTAATAATAATTATTTTCTTATTTAAGACAAAGTTTATGCCAACGAAGAAGAAGAAGATTTGAGAAAAAGGATTTTTGGTATGAACCACAGGTTCATAATCGACCACAACCAACTTCACGAAAAAGGTGAAAGGTCATTCACTGTTGGGATCAATCAATTTGCTGACATGGTTGGTTTTAGTGTTCTTCATTTGCTTGAATACTTCGTAATATTTTCATACAATCGGATCCTTCATCATTACACCCAAATCGTAAAATCATAATTATTCATTAGGACGTAAACTGGCCTAATCCAGTCATCATATTTGATCATTATCAAATGAAATTGACAGCAACTTCTATCATTAAACAAGTCATGACACATCATCATAATCATCGTCATCACATTTTGTGAATATCAATATTATAAAATTCATATTTTGTTTAAAATGAACTCAGACTGTTCACGAGTTCAAAGAGACGATGAACGGACTGAAAATAAATTCTGAGAGGGTCAGAGGGTCAACATACTTGTCACCCAACATCAACATGACCTTGCCCACTGAGATCGACTGGAGAAAAAAGGGACTCGTCACGCAAGTCAAAAATCAGGTTTGATTAACCGTTGTGTAATAGAATGATTTATTAATTTATTTTAGATAAAAAAAGATGTTTAAACTTACGTGAATAAATTGATTGTTGGATGGTTTTTTTTCTGCATAAATGAAAGCAATCCATTTGGTTGCATAATGATGCAATCACCTCTGATACATCATCATTGTTTGTTATCATAATCGTTTTCTTCACTATTTCAGGGTCACTGTGGATCATGCTGGGCTTTCAGTGCCGTTAGTATTGTATATTTTATTGAAATTTTAATTCATTCTCCCGTTAGGTTTATTTTCTACTTGTTTCCTTTTCTCATTCTTCATCAAATCATTAATATTTAATGATTAAACCAATGATAGATTTTAATGATTGCTTCTTATTGAAACCATGCTTATTTAAAATCATAATTGGGCAGACCGGTTCATTGGAAGGTCAACACATGAGGAAGACAGGAGAGTTGGTCGAACTCAGTGAGCAGAACCTTGTCGACTGCTCTTTTAATTATGATAACAACGGTTGCAATGGTGGTCTCATGGACAATGCTTTCAAATACATCAAAGCTAACAAAGGCATTGACACTGAAACAGCTTACCCATACGAGGCTAAAGTGAGTTTTTTTAATGCTGTTCAAAATAATTTTTGGCAAAATTTGTAGCTATTTATAGATAACAAATATCACATTGTCGACTGTTACGTTTAAATTTTTGTTAAATCATTTTTTAAAACTTATCTTTGAATTAATATTGTCTAACATTTCAACTGACAACAGAGTGGAGAATGTAGGTTCAATGAGAACAAAATTGGAGCCACCGTGACAGGATTTGTTGACATTTCTAAAGGCAGTGAAGAAAAATTGCAGGAAGTTTTGGCCACAGTTGGACCTGTGTCTGTTGCCATCGATGCTGGCCACGAATCGTTCATGTTCTACAAATCCGGTTTGTGTTGAGTTAATTGACGAAAAATTGTTTAATGTAGACCGTTTAATATTTACGTAAATTTATTTTTTGGTTAATATTGTTCTGCATGGAAAGCTTCATTATATTTTTGATTGGAATGCATTTTATGCATAGTCTTGATTCTAGATTCGGCGCCAACAAAATTGTAGTATCAAAATAAAAATATTCAATCAGGTGTATATGATGAGCCAGAATGCGATGGTGAACAGTTGGACCATGGTGTGCTTGCTGTTGGCTACGGAAGGATCGAAGGAAAGGATTATTACATCGTCAAAAACAGGTTGGCATCTTAGTTTTTGCTCGCTTTTGTATATTATACTATATGTATAAGTATGTAAAACTATTTTGTGCATCCGTCACTTTACTTTTATGATGACTAAAAATGTCATTGCACCTAATCAGATTCATGTTGTAAACTGAAATTAACAAAAGTTCACATACACTCATTAAAATAATTACGTATCGAAATTCGACAGCTGGGCTACATCATGGGGTGACAAAGGCTACGTATACATGAGCAGGAACAAGAAGAACCAATGTGGAATTGCCAACATGGCCAGTTACCCTCTCGTCTAACAAAACACGCCTGCTTTTGAAACGTTCATTTTACCCGTGTAATTATTTTTCCAACAAACTTGTACTGATTTCGTATTCAAAACTATGTTTATAACAACTGTCATAAGAGATTTAAAATTTTATTATTTGATTCAAAATTTAGTCATGATTGTTTTGCAGAGGGTTTTTATTAATAATTTTGTTATGATCGCATTGTGTTTTTTGAAATAGTCCATTTAGATAAAGCGCATCACTTTACTAATTTGATCACCTTTAAATTTCTTATCATTTTAAAATTTGATAGCTTGGCTAATTCATGAGGTGACAAGGCAAAAAAAAATCTAATTTTAATTCTAGTAATTTAATCAATCCAAAACTAAGTTATATGTTCAATTTTTTAAATTGTTAAAAATTGTTAATAATAAAAATTTTATACAAATACACGTTAAATATATGGAAATCGCAAAAATGATCGTCTAATTTGGCGCAAAAAGTTGATGGCAAAGAGAACAACGTCCTACCTCGAGGAACCGGGTCTCTGAACGCAAAACGAAGATTGATTGATACGTTAAATGTAAATACTTTATTTTCAAGTTAACATTTTCTTTTTATTTAGTAAATTTTTCAAATCTGGAAAGAACCAGAATGTTGATCAGCTTTATTAAGTCGTGCGAAACTGTCATTAATCTCTTAATTTAATTTCTATCCACAGCGCTTAATAATTTTTCAAAGTTTTTCCACCGCATTCAGATCGACGTCTCTACTTGTTTCTCCAGGCATTAGTTTTTTTTTCTCGTTCTGTTTGCACAGCTTCTTTCCCGTTTCAATACATTCATTAAACATCAGATCTTTCTCTATAAATAACTGATTTTTAAGGGCTCCAATATCGTTAGCTGCGTCATAAAAATTTGATTTTATGCTCCTTTAGCCTCATTTGAACTTCTGAACACGGTCAATGGATTTCATAATTCTAAACCATAAATTTTTCAAAGTAATAAAATAGAAAGAAAAAATTCTTTGACGTAAGGAATTTGCCTCAGATATTGTTACAATGGTCTGTGAGGCATCTTTATAAGTTGCTCAAGTACTATTAATATTAGGCTTTTATTTAAACTCTCCTTTTTCTTAGTCAAAATCAACATATCTTATAATTTGAAGCATATTTTTATCATGAGAAACACCAAAAGTTTAATCAAATAATAGACCATAGTAATTCGCATTGCAGTTTTTTGCAACAGAGGATTTTGAACAGAATAAGTCCTTAAATAAATTAATTCTTTTTGTTTTTGTGTAGAAAAATAAAATATTTGTGTTGCCTACTGTAACATCATTATAATTTTGCTTCAGAATTGGATCAAATTAAGATTGCAATTTTACCAGCCCAATAAAAATTCCATCTGTATTTTCATTATCGGTTATTGATTCCCTATGTGCACGTAAAGCAAGTTTATGAAAAGCCAAGTAGTTTTTACAACATAAAAGTCTTTTTAATACATCACGCCATTTTTGTTTTTCATGTTCAATTAAAACTGGAAATCAATCAGTGCTGCAATATTATTTAAACTATTTTCGATTTCCTTCCATTTTCTAAGGTTTCTAAATTATCGTGCATTTTTAATGATTCAGAATGTTTCCAATCTGTATATCCCTTTTTGTTTCAAAAGTAGATTTAGGCTCGAGGCGCGTAAAAAAATACAACATAAACAATAAACCGATTGGGTATAAATAGAATAAACAAGCCAAGATCGATGTACTTTCTCACTATTTCCATTTCCTGTTTTTTTGAACCAATCGATGTTAAAAGATTTTTTTCTCTAAGGTAAAAAGATAAAAATGGCTCTTTAACATTTTGGAAATATACTGCCTTTTTTACAATTGTTACACGTAAAGCATCTTTAATTAAAACTTTTCCAAAAATTTCGTAGAAATTAAGTTAACTAAAATAATGTTTAAAAGATACATCTGACAATAGATTTAAATCTTCATTTATTTCAATAGAAATACTTTCATTGGCAGCGTTTGATTTTTAGGTATAGTGTCTTCATAACCATCAGTATCAATAGAATCACTTTGATCATTTTCAGCAGACTTGGAGACAACATGGTTGGGGGAATGATATGACATCAATTTACTAGATTTTACTGCTTCTTGCTCGGCTAACATGCAATTTTTTTGAAATTTGTCACCACTTTCCTTTTTTTATTACTACATGTTTTTCCACGAAAAAATTAAAGTAAAACATTTTTTAATATGAATTTTTTTAGAATATAATTTAACTTATTCAAAATCTTACCAGGAAACATAGCAATTTGAATTAGCAGAAAAACAACGTTTTAATTAAACGGCGAAACGCTTAAAAAAACTATTTATCACTTATATATGTTAAAACTTAAAAATTTAAATTATATAAAAACCAAATTTGAAATCTGTTTGTAAACACTCAGATCGATTTGGGCGCCCGAATACCAAAAATCATTAATATATATTTATTTTTAAATCATTTTTACAAATATTTAAATTTATTACACTAATTTGATCATTTGAACAAAATTATTTTTATTGTATTTTATATAATTACAATTTTGTCAATTGTTATAATTTAAGCTTTTGATTTCATTTGTAAAAATAAAATAATAAAACTTGAATCGGTCATGTGTGCATGTTGGTACAGTATTGTACGAATGCAGGCGAATTGGTTGTAAGTATGTGCGTGTATTGTATGTTTTTGGACTGAATGATATCTAGTAGGTTTTGTTTGGTTGTGTGTATGAATGCTATTTGGTATAAAAGTGTGTTTGACAATGTACCAGGATATTTTTGTGTTTTTTATTTCGTATTTTTTAGCGTGGTTGCTATTTCGTGGTGTTTCTTTCGTTTCGTTTTGGTACTATCTCGATTTATTTCACGGAGTTTTGTTTTAATTGTTTTATTAATGTTGTTCTGTTTCTGTTATTGGTTTTTGTTTACTTAATCTGTTTAGAACATTTAGTTACGTTTATTTTTTAGTTGAAAACATTTGGAGATTTGCATTTATTTTGAAGACGCTGTATTTTGGTTTGTTTTGTTTCAATAAACTTATTGAAATTAGTTTTTGCTTGTCTTATCTCAAACATGTCAGCATTAGAAACAGGTCTTCCTTCCGGCCCGTGTTTTTCGACACGGAGATAAACATTTGCAAAGTCTCCACCAGAAGCGAAATTGCCTAGGCTGGCGGCGACTTTTATTTGCGTACAAGAAAGGAACGGTTTTCGCCGCGCCACAAAAGTTCATGTATGTAAAAATATGTCAAATAAAATGGCGAATCGACTGTTTATTTTGAATAAGTTGCTGTATTTTTTGGCGAATAATTCAAGTTTATGGGATAATGAGTCGTTTATTCTAAATGTTTCTGCTTTCTACATTAACGAGGAAGTTTTGTCAAACGAGTTTGAAATCTTCAAAATCAAAAAAATTGATAAATGCCTATCAAGAAAAGAGCTACGAAAAAACGATAAATTGACGAAATGTTTGACCATGTTGAAAACTATGAAAATTAATGGCATTCGTGATAAATGCGCAATTTTTGTCAGCGCAAATTTGAGCAAAATGCCGTCATTTGAAAAATTTATAGAAATAAATTTTGAAAATGTTGAAAAAGACTTGAAAGACATGCTTGATAAACAACAGGCGTGTCTAGGCAACGCTTTAGACCATTTTGCTGAAATGCAGTTTAAATCATGCGGCGCCTAATGAACAGTGTAAAAATATAAAAAATCTAGCAAAGACAAACATTGTTAGTAGGAAAGTAAACACTGATTTATTAAGATTAAACAAAGCTAATAACACGTTGCCACAAAGTAAACGAAATCAACTCGGAACAATGTGGTCGGACATAGTGTCATCAGCCACTGAATAAGAACAATTCACGTTGGTAAATTGAGGGCAGACAAAAACTTAATTAAAAAGTCTGTCTTCTCAATGAGCAATATTAATAAAAGTCACCGAAGAGATGTTGTTGAATTTCTGACATCAAATGGAATTAATGTCAATACGTGCTATCCTGCTTTGAAAACATCAGAGATATTTTCAGATAAAAATTTTGACAAAGATCAACAGGAATCAACTATTTTTAGAGTCAGCATCGAAAGTTCAAATGTTTCCAAGTTTAAGGATCCTAATATTATGCTGAAAAACGTTATTGTGCGCAAATGGCGCTTCAATCATACAAAACTTGATAATTCTAATATTCAGAATGGAAAATGAAATTTTAGATTATTAATTTGATGATAAAAAAGAACAATTGTCTCAAAATTCCATTTCGTTTGACGATGCAAAATCAGTCAATGCCAAATATCAGTCTTTCATTACTGATAAGAGTAACTCAATGTTAAACGTGATGCATATGAATATAAGAAGCTTAATAAACAAAACCAATGAACTTTATAATTTTTTTACAAATTTTTCTTAGAAACCTGGTTGAATAACGTCAGTGATGTTGAAATGGAAGACTACCACTTTGCTGGAAAAATTCGGTGTGGTAAGCAAAGTGGTGATGTCGGTTTTTAGGTGGAAAATGGTTGCTTATTTAAAACTTGAAATGAATTGAATGATATTGGTTGTGAAAACTTTGAAACATTTCCAAATGAGTTAATTAATAAAGATTCAAAAAATAACTCGATAATGATAGCAACTTACTGACCACCGTCTCAGGATTAAAAAACAATCAACGATTGACAACATTTTGGTGAACTGTTTAAAATCTTCAAAATTGAACGGTGTAGTGACGTGCGACTTTTCAGATCATTTTCCAATTTTTGCTTCATTTGATAATGCAAATAAAAACACCAATGTGAAAGATTCAAGTCAAATGAAGTTCTTTTTTTCTGCACACCGTCTGAATAGATTGAATGAATGTCTGTATTTTTCAGATTGGAGTGAAATTTTTGATTGCGTCGATGTTGATGTGGGGTTTCAACTTTTTGAATGATTTTTTCGTCAACATAGCACCAAATTTGCTTAAATCATTTTAATCAAATAATAGCGGCGTGAATCGCTCCCTCTGCGCCACCGCTAACACCAGCGCCCACCTGCTGAGGTTGAAGCAAGGGGACAACTTTGTCTTTAATGATATGCATAGCACATTTCGCAGCTAAACGCCTCCAAACACAACCAACTACAATTGGCCTGATACCCCCATCTTTTTTTAACAGAGCAACCAGTCTTCCACCAAACAAAATAGCAAAACCAAACCTCTGGCGGATAGTTCCCGTTTAGAATCAGGTTGACAAATGAGGCAATCAAATTCACCAGATCAGAAGAGTCTGCTTTTGAAGACGTAACGTCTCTTAGATGTGCAGACGTGAGACCATCTCTGCCGCCAGAAAAAGACTTTCTGTTCCCTTAGGAAAAGACTTTAAACAGTGCAGCACCTGTTGTGAATTAACCGTTAAGCTTGAAGCCTCTTTGGGTAGACATTCCTTTCTGTTTGAGGGAGCGTTTGGATGTTTCTCCCTTAGGGAACCTATGGTTTCTTCCGTAACCGGTGCAACTGTATCTGTTGAAGACAATAACTGTAGCGCGTTTCGAATGTTTCCTTTTTCAATCTTGGATCTAACGGATGAAATCAGTGTGCATCCATCCGGGCGCCTACCATCATGCGCAGAAATGCCGGATGGTTCCTTGAGAACCGGGATTGTAGCCTTGGAGAAGAGATGTATGGATGTATGTATGTATATATGTATGTATGTATGTATGCATGTATGTATGTATTATTATTATTATTGAAACATTTATGAAGCGCTAATTAAACGAATCTCAAAAGCGCTATCTAACAAAAACTGAACTTAACAACATAATTGAAATAACAAACGAAAAATCATAATGCATCGTACAGAAATAAGATTAAAATTTGGTCATAAACAGAAAAGTAATCGATTCAATATAACGAAAATACGAAATAATATTTAGAACATGTCGACAAAACAGAAAAAATTGATTTATAATGCATTACAATGAAAATAAATGAGTTTTCAGTTTCTTCTTGAAATCACGCAGGTTTAGGTCCGGATTTCTGAGAGCAGCAGGCAGGTTGTTCCAAACAGTTGGTCCAGAAACAGCAATGTTACGAGAGCCTATAAGGAGACTTGTTTTTGGGATTAACAGCAAGTTTGAAACATCGGATCTCAAGTGTGCTCCAGATGCTTTTGAAGATCTCTTTTTGAACCTGTCAGACAAATAAGATGGAGCTAGACCGTTGATAGACTTGTAGACAAGTGCTGAAATTTTGAACAACACTCTATTGTCGACGGTTAGCCAATGAAGTTCCTTCAATATTGGAGACACATGGTCGTATTTTAGAGCTCCAACAACAACTTTTGCGGTTCGATTCTGTATTGATTGAAGTATAGCCATGGATCGATCAGGTAAATCATAAAACAAACTGTTGCAATAGTCGACGCGTGAGTGCACAAATGCATGAACCAACGTCTGCAACGTGGATGTATCTAGGGATCGTCGAATTTGATTGATTTTCCGGATTTAAAACAGGCATTCGGCTGAGAGCTTCTTAATGTGTTGTTTTGTTGACAAACTTGAATCAATTATGAAGCCCAGATTAGCTGCTGTCTGACAAAATGAGATGACCTCATCATTAACAGTTATTGAATTTATATCTATTCTTGAAAGTTGCTGCCATGTTCCTATTGGTAAAAAAACAGTCTTGTTTTGGTTTAGTTTTAAACCATTGTTTTGCATCCACTTATTGACCCCAGACAAACATTTAACCAGTTTGTTCAATTCTGATTTAAAAGAATCTGGTCTGCTCGTAACAATAATTTGTAAGTCGTCCGCAAAAGCATGACCCGAAAAACCAAATGATTCTATTTTTTTTAGTACTTTAGATGTATAGAGCAGGAATAGAATAGAAACTAGAACTGAACCTTGTGGCACACCAGACAGCATAACATTAACCTCAGACAATTTACCACCGAATGATACCTGTTGTGATCTACCTATCAGATACGATTCAAACCACCTCAGAACAGCACCAGAGATTCCAAAACTGCAACGTAGTCTTGTTAAAAGTACTTTGTGATCTACGCAATCAAATGCGGATGACATATCAAGAAAGACTAGCATTGCCACATTTTGTTCATCAATTGCCCCGTGCACTTCTGAGAAAACTTGCAAAAGGGCAGTTTCAGTTGAATGGTACTGACGGAATCCAGATTGAAATTTCGGCATTAAATTGTTATTGTTCAAGTAACTGAGTGTTTGCCTGGCAACCACACGTTCGATAAGTTTGGGTAGGAAAGACAGATTAGAAATTGGTCTGTAATTCCCAACATTATTTTCATCCAGATTATGTATCTTCAGCAGCGGAGTTATGATGGCATGCTTGCAGCCGGAGGGAAACTGTCCCATATTCAAACTGCTGTTTATCAGGCCTGCCAAAAATGGTGCGAATAGTTTTATAAACTTCTTTAATACGTGGGTAAGCATTACATTTTGTTGACACGACTTTGTAGGTGAATTTTGAACTAACTGTATTACCTCCTCTTCTTTTCAGAAACCATAGAAAACGTTGAGAACAAACTATTATTGACACCTGAATGGATTTCTGCCAGGTTCGGTTGAGCATCCTTGTTGACACTATTTCTCAGCTTGCTTAACTTTTCATTAAAATAGCACTTAAATCATCGATCAGGTTTTAGTTCATCCATATCCGAGCAGGATTTATTGTTACGACCCCTACAGAGAAGGCTGTTCACAACCCACCAAAGATTTTTTGGTTTTATCTTATTGTCATCAACAATTTTTGTCCAATACTGACGACGTTTTTTAGAGAAAAGTTCCGATTTACTCTTTAAAGCAGTCTTCCATTCATCTTGATGAATCAACTGTGAACTTTTTCTGTATCTTCTTTCCATTATTCTGCACAAACGCTTAGCCAACCTGCAATCATTATCAAACCACGGAGCCATACGAACGTTATTGGTGGACACTGCACAAATAGGGACAACTTTATCAGCAACAGATTTTAATTCGTTATTAAATAAATGCAATTCATTGTCTACCTCATTGTCTTGACATGATTTGGAGAGTGGAGATTTAAGCACGAGTTTGATGAAGTCATCAACATTCATCTGATTCCACATTTTAAAAACTTTTTTAATTTCAACCAAATATCCTCGAGTCATCGACAGTTCAGCCCAAATAAAACTATGATCAGAATAAATTCCACTTGGATGGACTAAACAATCATGAACTGGAAAATCCTCGGAGGTCACTATCAAGTCTAGTGTAGCACCACGTAGATGTGTTGGTGCTTTGGTGTATGTATGTATAAATGTATGTGTGTATGTACGTATCAACAGCTAGATTTACTTAGTTTTACAATTTTTTCATATTGTTGTGAAATAAAACTGCATCAAAAAACAACTCAACACATGTGCGTTCTGCGTTAGCAATGATAACAGCCTTCTAGCGATTGAACGTAGCTTAGCGTAATCAACAATTACGTCAATTACTATATATATATATATATATATATATATATATATATATATATATATATATTTATATCCCTATATTTATATTATATAAATAATGTTTGTCCACGTTATTGAATGCACAAAATGTAAAAAGATTAAGACAGTTATACATATATATACATATATATATATTGTGTGTGTATGTGTGTGCACGCGTGTGCGTCTGTTGTATGTGTTAAGAATATTTCAAAACTAATTTCACATAATTTAGTAAAGTCTAAATTAAATTGATAAAAATGAAATAAGTAAAATAATGAAAATTATCATTAAAAAAACAAATTATATAGAAAATGGATAAAAATTAAGAAATAGCTACTTTGAACTCAATTATATTTAATTTTAAATTAATTAAGTATTGATTACAAATATTAAAAGTTCAAAGTCATTTATTTAATACCATTTTAATATTTGTTTTTGTCAAATAAAAATTAACATAAATGGGTTTTTTATTTATATATGAGTGTTGTATATAAATATATATATAGATACATACACGCATCCATATACACATACATACACACAAACAAACATACATACTAGCCTAAATTCAGTAAACTGTCAATACGTAGTGCAGTTGTTCACATGATGTTAATATAAATTTCTTATAAAAAGGAGCCCGTTTGCACTGTTGGTAAGAGCTTAAACTTGTTTTGTACTATCTGAAGAGATTGTTAGTTAAAGAAAAAGCAAAACAGAAGAAGGTTACAAAATTTTAATTTTTTATTTATTTTTTTTATATTTATAGTTTAATATGAAATGGCTAAATCTGATATTAAATTTTTCGTTTCGTTTCAACACGTCGAATGCTGTCGGGGCGAAACAAAAAAAATGCTGTCGGGGCAAAACAAAAAAAACTGTAATAAGACTTGTGCATATGTGGTGTTGGTATATGTTTAGAAAATTTGATTTTTGTACGTCGAGTGTGTAATGCGAATGAACGAGGAATATTCTATGTTGCACTGGCTGTAAAGATTGCAGACAAAATAAAACAAATTAATCATTGAAATAAAATTACGGCTTATTGAGAAAACTTTGAAAAAATGTTTCAATGCCATTTTTTTAAGTTTTAATTGTTAACTAAAATGATAGTAAATAAATTAATTAATAATTGTTTTATTTTTAATGATAAAACTTGATATAACATGTAATACTTTATTGAGTCTTCACCCATTAAACATACAAAATGACATTTTGCAACAATACTCTACATGATTTTTCAACAGATGTTCAAACTCATTATCTTTTTGTTGTTCTCGGCCGTCATGGCAAGAAATATCTACTGGCAGAACGAGAAAGACAATCTTCGATCGAACCTCCAGGAAGTTCTTGACGTGGAAGTCGAATGGATGAAATTTAAATCATTACACAGTTAGCATTGATATTTTTTAAATTGATTGGTTGTAGTTGTCGGATTGAAAATCCTAGCGATTAAAAAGACTAATAAATAAAACACCACGAAATAAGGAGTTGATTTGTGCGGGCTTTATAAGAAACTGCGATAACTATTCTGATAGGTATTCGGGCTGCTGATGAGTCCCCGGTAGGGACGGAACACGTGTCCAGCCTATCCAAACGAATACTATTCTTTTCTTTTCCCGCTCACTGCTCTTCTGGTTCGGTGTTCTTTAAATCAAACGCAACCGCAACATAGTAGAGGATGGATGACGTGGTTGTTGTTATTTTCTTGAACAGTCTTGAATTGAATGTGTTGAATATTTGGGTGACGGTAGGATATGATGCAAGTAAATAGTTGAGGCAGATTAGTTTTTTGATGTGAGATTGTAGTTGCTTAAGTTGTTGTTATGTAGCGAAACCAGACCAGGAGGGAGCTGCATATTTGATGCGTGAGATTTTGAGTGATTCAGTAATGTCGAATAATTTGATGCCTCTAAGACCATGTGAGCGGAGTGTTTTGAGTGCGTAAAATCTTTTTTAAATTAAAAATTAAAATCTAAAATCTAGATGAAAAAGTAGAGCTAAAGAAAATAGAATGACTCCTATTAGAAAGAAAATTAATTATAATATTGTAAATGTTGTCAGGTAGAGGAAGAGAGACTAACTAATTTGAAAGTGAGAAGTGATTGAGAGTGTCAAAAGCTTTAGAAAAGTCAAGAGCAATAAGATGAACATAGTTATTATTTTTAAGGAAAGATGTTATTGTGGAAGTAAGAGAGATGATTGCGGATGTAGATGAACCTGTAGAGCGAAATGCAAACTGATCGTGTAATAATGGTTTGATGGATGGATGGTTGAAACATGGATAGATGAAAGACCTAACGATGAATTTTTCTAGAATACGTGAAAAAATGGGAGAATAGATATTGGGCAATAATCTATTGGTGATGATGGGTGAATTGTTTTAAAAATTGGATGAATTATGCAGGATTTCCATTGTGATGGAATGAATGAATGATTTAAGCAGTGATTGTAGAGTGAACTTAAGGTGTTGGAGATGAATGGAGCGATGATTTGTAGAAACCATGCCGGTACACTGTCTGAACCTCTACCAGATGAACAAGCCTTCGTTATCATGTGCAGGACGAAGTATGGGGTAAATTGTTGATGTTTACGACTATTGATTGTTGTTGCTTTTGTGGTGGAGTTTTGTAGGACGGATCGGTTGACATTGAAGCAAAGAGAGTGTTGAGTGTGTTGGCATCAATTTGCTGTGAGGTTGAAGTGTTGAATGATTTATCGGAGCCTCTGATCTTGTTGACTTGGTCCCACATGGCCTTGCTTCCACGCTTACTGTTAGTGGAGGTTTTTGAGTTGAAGTTGATGATGAGTGTGTTGATATATACGGTGATTGCGGCGGCTTTGATGATTGATCCTGATTTCATGAATTTATTTTTTGGCAAAGTAGATATTTGAATGGAGGGTCTGATGATCTGATCGTGATGTTTGATGTTGGGTAGTACGGGTTGTCTTAATGGGTCTCGTTGCCGAGTGATTAGCGTGTCCGTCTACCACTCTCACGACCCGTGTTTGAATTCTGCAGTTTTCTACAAGTTCATTCGGGTAGCCGACCCCCGGCCAAGCCAGCCGAATTGATGATTTTATAAAATTTATCAAAACAGTGTTGAAAAAATTGTTGATAGAGTTAGTTATGACCGTATTATCGTTAATATTGTTATTAATATTATTATTATCATAGGCACTTTTGTTAATATTATTATTATAGTTACAAATACGTTAGGTTTAGATGTGAACGAAAGCGTTATTATTGTTAATTGCATGGAATTGTTATACAAATTAGTAAACCATATTGGATGCAATAGGATTATTTGAAAATTAAAATATCTAAGATGGAGATTAACAAAGGCGCCAACTTGTCCAAGATATTGGAGGGCCCGGGCCAGGGCCAGGGCCACCAAATGATATATTATACCATATGATTATACCGTTTCATTATAGTTATATATACAAATAAATATAAATATATTATATATGTTTTAAACATATATAAATATAGAAATTAATGAAATAAAACATCCAAATGAAATTAAAACAATGCAAATGTTTTTAATCGTAAATCATTGCATAATTGTTATACCTCAATTGACTCAGTTAAGGTTCGGTAGCAATGCAGTATTGCTCTACGTGGTTCAGCCTCTCCTGTCCCATTGTGGATCGCAGATGCGTTTTTAGGCTGCATAAGGTTGAGAAACTTCTCTCTGCTGTGCAAGTTGTTACAGGTGATGTCAAAACAGCATTAAACATTGAAAATTTCCAAAAGCATTTTCCGCCTAAATTTGCATTTCATCAGATCAATAACATCTTGCATAATTTGGATTTCCTTTTGAATTACTACAACCATGGCAGATGAGGTCTCAAAACATTTTCAGATGTAGAATAAGACGATCTTCATTTGTATTATTTCCGTAATATTCTTAAAGCTTTGAAACTTTTACATCCTGATCCTGCAAATTTAAAACACTTAGATCTGAGTTTTTAACGTTTTGTGCAATAAGAAATCCTTCGGACTTGAATCTTGTTTTCAGCCATTCAAGTGCGGCATTTACGGCTTGAATATAAAATCTTTTAAAATACTCTTTCGGATCAGAAGAAATATTTAAAAAAAGAGTTTATAAGGTTGTCTACCTTCGTCCATTTTTGGGGGGCACGTCTTACGCAAGCTAATAATGGTGCTTCTGTATTATTTTTTGCTGCTTTCAAAGTTACTTCATGCCAAAAGTCATTAAATTCTGTGTCTTATTTGCTTAAATTACAGTATACAAATCTTAAGGATTAAATATGAAAATTGTATGTAAAGTTTAGAAAATATTTAAAATTATATCTAAAAAGATATTCAATTTCTATAACAAAATATCGACCAGCATTGTGCGGGCCCAAGAGACTAAATATTGGGGGGACTCGAGCCCTTCCAAGCCCCATAAACTCGGCGCCTATGCGGCTCTATGCTCACTTAACATTGAGCGCCACTCTTAACATGGCGCAGCGCAAGTTGAATAAATAAATAATTCATTCAAAATTCGTTTTCTTAGTAACTAGAAATGCTACAATAATAAATTTTGTATTATTTTAATCAGCAAATTTTGCTTTATAAGAAAAAATAATTTATATACAAAAAAAATTTTAAAAATCGTGCGACCTGCTACATTATCAAAATAATTTATTCACAATTAATTTAATACCAACAAAGTTAAATTTAAAGTCAGTAATGAATTCATTTACTTTAATATTTTTTGCAACAAACTTAGAAAAATCAATTGTAGTTTGTCGAAGTTTCATTTTAAACCAAAAAAAATTATTTCAAATCTATTTTTAAAATGATTTTAAATTTTAGTCCGCTTATCAAACACACAATGAAAAGTTAACTTAAATCAAAGATAGAAGAAAGAAAGCAAAGATACTACACTATTTTTGCTTAAATTACGGTATACAAATCTCAAGAACTAAATATGAAAATTAGCATGGAAAGTTTAGAAAATATTTAAAATTATATCTAAAAAAATATTAAATTTTTATGACAAAATATTGGGGGGGCTCAGCATTGTTGCGGGCCCGATGGAATAAATAATAAGGGGGCTCGAGCCCCTCCAAGCCCCATGGAGTCGGCGCCTATGGAGATTAAAATGAAAATATAATTATATTAATATTAATCTTCTTTTTATTCATATTTTATCATTTATTTTAGAAATATCTTTTTTTCATTTCTTTTAAAAGTTGACACCACAACAGGTTTCATTTTCATGTTTTACAAGTTAAGATTGTTATATTCTTAATATTTGAAATATCTTAAAAGTTTAGGTAGTTATATTCTTGATATAAGACTGTAACAATATTTGTGAATTAAACTTGAGGCACAATGCTAGCTATACTGAAGTTAGCATGTTTTTATTTCAATTTGGGACCGGAAGAATGAAAGAAACAAAAAAAGCAAACAAAAAGTTAAAAATTTTGGACTAAAAAGAATGAAAAAAGCAAAAAAAGCAAAAAGAAGTTAAAAAAGAAGTAAAAACGTTAGGGGTTGAAAATTGATGGAATCATTTTTGTGACATGATATGGATAATAAAACTAACTCGAAAACTAAAATTTATTGGTAAAGTTTCAATCATGACGTACCTCTATCTAAAAATTTCATAAAATTAGTTTTTGACATTTGTTCAAAAAAGAAAAAAATTGTGTTAATAAAAATTGCAAAAAAGTTAGCAGAGTGAACAGATTAATAATAATTATTTTCTTATTTAAGACAAAGTTTATGCCAACGAAGAAGAAGAAGATTTGAGAAAAAGAATTTTTGGTATAACCACAGGTTCATAATCGACCACAACCAACTTCACGATAAAGGTGTAGCCTCTGAAGATAGCTTTTTAAATCAATTTTGATCAATCAATTTGCTGACATGGTTGGTTTTGGTGTTTTTCATTTGCTTAATTACTTCGTAATATTTTCATACAATCAGATCCTTCATCATCACAAATCCAAATCGTTAAATCATAATTATTCATTAGGACGTAAACTGGCCTAATCCCGTCATCATATTTGGTCATTATCAAATGAAATTGACAGCAACTTATATCATTAAACAAGTCATGACAAATCATCATAATCATCGTCATCACATTTTGTGAACATCAAAATTGTCTATCTCCTCATGAATAAATAAGGGAGTCGTCACGCAAGTCAAAAATCAGGTTTGATTGACGGTTGTGTAATAGAATTATTTATTAATTTATTTTAGATAAAAAATATGTTTAAATTTGTATGAATGAAATGATTGTTAGATGGTTGTTTCCTCTGCATAAACGAAAGCAATCCATTTGGTTGCTTGCTGATGCAATCACCTCTGATACATCATCATTGTTTGTTATCATAATCGTTTTTTTCACTATTTCAGGGTCACTGTCGATCATGCTGGGCTTTCAGTGCCGTTAATATTGTATATTTTATTAAAATTTTTAATTCATTTTCTCGTTAGGTTTATTTTCCACTGTTTCCATTTCTCATTCTTCATCAAATCATTAATATTTAATGACTAAACCAATGATAGATTTTAATGATTGCTTCTTATTGAAACCATGCTTATTTAAAATCATAATTGGGCAGACCGGTTCATTGGAAGGTCAACACATGAGGAAGACAGGAGAGTTGGTCGAACTCGGTGAGCAGAACCTTGTCGACTGCTCTTTCAATTATGATAACAACGGTTGCAATGGTGGTCTCATGGACAACGCTTTCAAATACATCAAAGCTAACAAAGGCATTGACACTGAAACAGCTTACCCATACAAGGCTGAAGTTTGTTTTTCTAATGCTGTTCAAAATAATTTATGGCAAAATTTGTAGTTATTTATAGATAACAAATATCACACATGTCGACTGTTTAAATCTTTGTTAAATCATTTTTTAAAACGTATCTTTGAATTTATATTGTTTAACATTTCAACTGACAACAGAGTGGAGACTGCAGGTTCAAGGAGAACCAAATCGGAGCCACCGTGACAGGATTTGTTGACATTTCTAAAGGCAGTGAAGAAAAATTGGAAGAAGTTCTGGCCACAGTTGGACCGGTGTCTGTTGCCATCGATTCTAGCCACAAATCGTTCATGTTCTACAAATCAGGTTTGTGTTGAGTTGTTAAGAGATGAAAAATTGCTTAATGTAGACTGTGGACTGGAAAGTTTCATTATATTTTTGATTGGAATGCATTTTATGCATAGTATTGATTCTAGATTCGGCGCCAGCATAATCGTGATATCAAAATAAAAATATTTAATCAGGTGTATATGATGAGACATAATGCAATGGTGAACAATTGGACCATGGTTTGCTTGCTGTTGGCTATGAAAGTATCGAAGGAAAAGATTATTACACCGTCAAAAACAGGTTGGCATCTTTATTTTTGCTCGTTATTGTATATTATACTATATGTATGAGTATGGAAAACAATTTTGTTCACCCGTCACTTTGACTAAAAAGGATGACTAAAAATGTCATTGCACCTAATCAGATGCATGTTGTAAACTGCAATTAACAAAAGTTCACATACACTCATTAAAATATAATAATAACGTATCAAAATTCGACAGCTGGGCTACATCATGGGGTGACAAAAGCTACGTGTACATGAGCAGGAACAAGGAGAACCAATGTGGAATTGCCAACATAGCCAGTTACCCTCTCGTCTAACAAAACACGCCTGCTTTTGAACGTTCATTTTACCTGTGTAATTATTTTTCCAAGAAACTTTTACTGATTTCGTATTCAAAACTATGTTTATAACAACTGTCATAAGAGATTTAAAATTTTTATTATTTGATTTAAAATTTAGTGATGATTGTTTTGCAGAGGGTTTTTGTTAATAATTTTGTTATGATCGCATTTTGTTTTTTGAAATAGCCCATTTAAATAAAGCGCATCACTTTTCTAATTTGATCACCTTTAAACTTCTTATCATTTTGAAATTTGATAGCTTGGCTAATTCATGAGGTGACAAGGCAAAAAAAATTCTATTTTTAATTCTAGTAATTTAATCAATCCAAAACTAAGTTATATATATTTAATTTTTTAAATTGTGAAAAACTGTTAATAATAAAAAAATTTATACAATTACACGTTAAATGTAAACATTTTATTTTCAAGTTATCATTTTCTTTCTATTTAATAAATTTTTTAAATTTGGAAAGAACCAAAATTTTGATCGGCTTTATTAAGTCGTGCGAAACTGTCATTAATCTCTTAATTTAATTTCTATCCACAGCGCTTAATAATTTTTCAAAGTTTTTCCACCGCATTCAGATCGACGTCTCTACTTGTTTCTCCAGGCATTAGTTTTTTTTCTCGTTTTGTTTGCACAGCTTCTTTCCCGTTTCAATACATTCATTAAACATCAGATCTTTCTCTTTAAATAACTGATTTTTAAGGGCTTCAATATCGTTAGCTGCGTCTTAAAAATTTGATTTCAATACTTCAATTCAAAAATTTCGTTTCAATACATTCATTAAACATCAGATCTTTCTCTTTAAATAACTGATTTTTAAGGGCTTCAATATCGTTAGCTGCGTCTTAAAAATTTGATTTTATGCTCCTTTAGCCTCATTTGAACTTCTGAACACGGTCAATGGATTTCATAATTCTAAACCATAAATTTTTCAAAGTAATAAAATAGAAAGAAAAAATTCTTTGACGTAAGGAATTTGCCTCAGATATTGTTACAATGGTCTGTGAGGCATCTTTATAAGTTGCTCAAGTACTATTAATATTAGGCTTTTATTTAACCCTCCTTTTTCTTAGTCAAAATCAACATATTTTATAATTTGAAGCATATTTTCATCATGAGAAACACCAATAGTTTAATAAAATAATAGACCATAGTAATTCGCATTGCAATTTTTTGCAACAGAGGATTTTGAACAGAAAAAGTTCTTAAATAAATTAATTCTTTTTGTTTTTGTGTAGAAAAATAAAATATTTTTGTTGCCTACTGTAATATCATTATTATTTTGCTTCAGAATTGGATTAAATAAAGATTACTACTAGATCGCTATTACCATAGACCACTACTTTATATTTTTTAAATGGAGTATTCACAGACTATAAGATATATTTTAGCTAAATTGTTTATTTTAGTCAAAATATTTTGTTTATATTTCATCTAATTTTGCTTAAATGTTTTTAGTAATCTTTGATTTGATATTATGTGGGCATGTGTAAGGTTTCCTTGGCACGCATGTTCTGTGAATCTGTCATGTGTGCATGTTGGTACAGTATTGTACGAATGCAAGCAAATTGGTTGTAAGTATGTGCGTGTATTGTATGTTTTGGGACTGAATGGTTTCTAGTAGGTTCTGTTTGGTTGTGTGTATGAATACTATTTATTATAAAAGTGTGTTTGACAAGATACCAGGATATTTTTGTGTTTTTTATTTCGTATTTTTTAGCGTGGTTGCTATTTCATGGTGTTTCTTTCGTTTCGTTTCGATTTTGGTACTATCTCGATTAATTTAACGGGGTTTTGTTTTAATTGTTTTATTGCAGTTGTTCTGTTTCTGTTATTGGTTTTTGTTTTTTTTATTCTGTTTAGAAAATTTAGTTACGTTTATTATTTAGTTGAAAACATTTGGAGATATGCATTTATTTTGAAGAACGTTGTATTTTGGTTTGTTTTGTTTCAATAAACTTATGGAAATTAGTTTTTGCTCGTTTTATCTCAAACATGTCAGCATTAGAAAGAGACTTGTCAACGGTTTGTTAGGCCTGATGAACAGATTGGCAAGCAGGACCCAACAGGTCTTCCGTCCGGCCCGTGTTTTCCGACACGGAAATAAACAATTGTAAAGTCTCCGCCAGAAGCGAAATTGCCTATCTTTGATAAACAACAGGCGTTTCTAGGCAACGCTTTCAACCATTTTGCTGAAATGCAGTTTAAATCATGCGCGCTTAATGAACATTGCAAAAATACAAAGACAAACATTGTTAGTAGAAAAGTAAACGCTGATTTATTAAGATTAAACAAAGCTAATAACACGTTGCCACAAAGTAAACGAAATCAACTCGGAACAATGTGGTCGGACATAGTGTCATCAGCCACTGAATAAGAACAATTCCGTTGGTAAATTGAGGGTAGACAAAAACTTAATTAAAAAATCTGTCTTCTCAATGAGCAATATTAATAAAAGTCACCGAATTAATGTCAATACGTGCTATCCTGCTTTGAAAACATCAGAGGTATTTTCAGATAAAAATTTTGACAAAGATCAACAGGAATCAACTATTTTTAGAGTCAGCATCGAAAGTTCAAATGTTTCCAAGTTTAAGGATCCTAATATTATGCTGAAAAACGTTATTGTGCGCAAATGGCGCTTCAATCATACAAAACTTGATAATTCTAATATTCAGAATGGAAAATGAAATTTTAGATTATTAATTTGATGATAAAAAAGAACAATTGTCTCAAAATTCCATTTCGTTTGACGATGCAAAATCAGTCAATGCCAAATATCAGTCTTTCATTACTGATAAGAGTAACTCAATGTTAAACGTGATGCATATGAATATAAGAAGCTTAATAAACAAAACCAATGAACTTTATAATTTTTTTACAAATTTTTCTTAGAAACCTGGTTGAATAACGTCAGTGATGTTGAAATGGAAGACTACCACTTTGCTGGAAAAATTCGGTGTGGTAAGCAAAGTGGTGATGTCGGTTTTTAGGTGGAAAATGGTTGTTTATTTAAAACTCGAAAGTAATTGAATGTTATTGGTTGTAAAAACTTTGAAACATTTCCAATTAGAACAGTTATTGTATGCTGCAAATAATGAAAAAAAATTATTTGTTTATTGTGTGATTTTAACTTCAACTTATTAGCCTTGAAAGGAGATAACAATAAAATTAATTTTTGTATCTATGCAAATAAAAGCACCGATGTGAAAGATTCAAGTCAAATGAAGTTCTTTTTTTCTGCACACCGTCTGTATAGATTGAATGAATGTCTGCATTTTTCAGATTGGAGTGAAATTTTTGATTGCGTCGATGTTGATGTGGGGTTTCAACTGTTCACCTAAAGATTTCAATCCTGTTTTTATGATGCCTGCCTGATAAAATAAAAAAAACTCATAAAACAAAAACCATGGTTTCTGCAGAAATTAAAATGTTATTAAAAAAGAAAAGACGTCTAATTAAAATTTATCTGGAAAATCCGTCTGTAGATAGATTTTAAAAATTCAAGATTTCTGTACGAACTTAAATAATATTTAAAACGTAAATATTATAATAATAAAATCGAACAAAATATAAACAAAAGTAAAAAAACATGGTCAATAATAAAGGAAATATCGAAAAGATTTAATAGTCATAAAAAAAATTTACAAGTAACTTCAAATGAACAAAAAATTGAAAATTCATAAAACTTTTTGAATGATTTTTTTGTCATCATAGCACCAAATTTGCTTAAATCATTTTAATCAAATAATTAATGGAAAAAGTTTTTTTGCAACAAAATGTCAAACTCATTCGTCTCCATGCATCTGGAAAAGAAATTATTTTTTCAACAAAATTGCTGGCTCCAAAATCATCTAGCGGCAGGAATAATATTCCAACAAAAATTGCCATATCAACAATCGACTGTACAGCCTGGGTTCTCGAGCACATCATCAATTTTTCACTCACAACCGGTGTTTTTCCAGATGCTTCAAAACATCTTTAATCATATCGTTACAAAAAGTAACCGGAAATAATGATGTTTCTAACTTTTGACCAATCTCATTAGTTTCATCATGTTTGAAAATAATTGAAAAAATTATGCATAAACGAATAATATCATTTTTAGAAAAAAATAATATTTTTTCAAGCTACCAGTTTGGGTTTCGAGAGAAACATTCAACAGAATTGGCAATAATAGAACTCATAAGGAAAATTGGTAATCTTGCGGAGATAAAACATTTCATCGTAGGAACATGTCTAGATTTGTCAAAAGCTATTGATTGTATTGATCATTACATCCTGTTGGGTAAGCTTGAACACTACGGCATGAGAAGGACGACTTTGAAATGGTTTGAAAGTTATTTGTCTGAAAAAAGTAGTTTGTCTGATCGGGAAATAAAATTCAACATTGCAACATAATGAATTTGGAGTTCCACAAGGAAGCTTCTTGGGACCACTATTGTTCATCTTGTCCTTAAACGATTTGCCAATTTGATAATGTATGTTTTGCAGATGACACTAACATTTTCGGTAGCGGAACTAGCATTGATGGTGTTATTGATGGAACAAATGTTGAATTAAAAAACTCGTTAAATGGTTTAACTACAACAAATTAGCATTGAATACTTCAAAAACCCAAATGATCGTCTTCGGTCCAGTGCCATGTTTAAATTACAAAGAACCGTACAAAATTATAATTAACAATCAACAGATAGTCGAAAGCAAAACAGTGAAATTCTTGGGTGTCCTCTTTGATAAGAAACTAACTTTTAAACCTCACGCCAATCACATCTCTAACAAGTCGAAAAAATCAATAGGAATAATAAATAGAATAAAATTTTTTCTTCCAAAAAATGTTTTAATTTTTTTATAACGCGATCTGCCTGTCCCATGTACCATACTGTAAAGTCAAATGAGCCAGTGCATATCCATTAACTACCATTTTTGTAAAAACGGATAGAAAAAGCAATGAGGATCATCACATTTTCTCGAAATGAATGATCCACCTCTAAATAAAGCCAGATTGATGGTGGTTAAAAGCGACTTGGGTTTTGCGTGGCTGAGGGCAGTATCCAGCACTCCTGCGGCACTAGACTTGATAACGCCTACATTAGAGTCAGTCTATACTTAAGAATGGGATTACCAGTGGTTTCGGAGTACAGATGTCTGTGCGGAGCAGATGTTTCTTCTTTGGGCTATCATGGCCTTTCATGTAAGTTAGGATCCAGCAGGCAGGTTACTAATTTACTAACAACTAGCATCTAACATGTCTCTCATTGATTATTTAGGAAAATTTGTTTATTATTATTATCAACAATGAATGATTATTTGATTAGACTTTTCCAAAAAAATAAATAAATGAATAAATAAATAAAAGAAAAAGAAAAAGAAAAAATAAATAACGGAGAAAATAATGTTTAAACCTGAAATGTAATTTATTAATGGACAAGATATTTATTAATAAGCAAAGTAATTTGTTAATGGACAAGATAATGACTAGTAAAGTTAGCGAGGTCATCGATAAGTAAAAAGAAAACTAGATTAAGTAAATGATAATTGTTTTATAATTTGTTTGACAATTTATTCATATATCACTAGACATGTCAACCTTAAAAAGCATCAACTGTTAGATTTACTTTGTTTTACAATTTTTTCATATTGTTGTGAAATAAAACTGCATCAAAAAACAACTCAACACATGTACGTTCTGCGTTAACAATGATAACAGCTTTCTAGCAATGAAGCGTAGCTTAGCGTAATTAACAATTACGTCATATATATATATATATATATATATATAAATATTTAAATATATCCATATATTTATATTATATAAATAATGTTTGTCCACGTTATTGAATGCACAAAATGTAAAAAGATTAAGGCAGTTATATATATACATATATATATATTGTGTGTGTGTGTGTTTGTGTGTGTGTGTGTGTGTGTGTGTGTGTGTGTGCGCGCGTGTGCGTCTGTTGTATGTGTTAAGAACATTTCAAATCTAATTTCACAATATTGAGTAAAGTTTGAATTAAATTGATAAAAATGAAATAAGTAAAATACTAAAAAATATCGTTAAAAAAACAAATTATATAGAAAATGGATAAAAATTAAGAAATAACTACTTTGAACTACATTACATTTAATTTTAAATTAATTAAGTATTGATTACAAATATTAAAAGTTCAAAGTCATTTGTTTAATACCATTTTAATATTTGTTTTTGTCAAATAAAAATTAACATAATTGGGTTCTTTATTTATATATGAGTGTTGTATATAAATATACATGGTTGAAATTGAAGTGCTCATCGATCATAAAGACACATAAACCCGACAATCCCTTACGCCCTATAATTAGTCAATGCCCAACTCCCACTTATCACATCGCAAAACAGCTCAACACCATTCTCACACCATATGTACCTGACAATTATTGTGTCAAAAGATCAACTGATGTCATCAAATTGTTGAAAGCAAACCGTCGAATCTCTTTTCACAAACGTGCCGGTTGATACTACAATACAATACATACTTGATCGAGTATATCGCGATGATACAACTCCATGTTTGGATATTAGAGAAGACGTTTATTGGATATTTAAAACGTTTGTTAGAAATATGCACGAAGCAGTCACCGTTTGTATGCCCCGCTGGACACATGTACGTGCAAACCGATGGCGTAGCTATGGGGTCTCCACTGGGAGTCTTGTTCGCAAATTTTTATATGGGAACAATTGAATACAAAATCTTCAAGCGTTATCGTAAACCTCTCGTATATTGTAGATATATCGATGATATATTTGTCATAACCAAATTTGGGAGAGATATAACACAGCTGAATAAATTGTTTCACCTTAACTCATGTTTAAAATTTACTGTGGAAAAAAGTAATGACAATAAATTGACCTATCTTGATATTTTAATTGATCAGTTAACACCCAACACATTTCGCACATCTGTTTACGTCAAACCAACCAACAACGGGATATGCATGAAAGGAAATAGCGAGTGTCCAGATCGGTATAAGAATAGTGTGATAATATCGTATGTCAGACGGGCATATTCACACAGCTCTGAACCACTTGAATTTCGTAAAGAACTCGATAAAATAAAACAATTCCTTGTCAACAATAATTTTAACAATTCAACAATAGATAAAATAATTACCAATGAAATTAGAAAGATTCAAAATAATAATATTAAGGTAAATGATAACAATGAAAACGTTAAAAACAACTCAAGTCATAATCATAATGTAACCGACAATGATAACCACGTTTCTATCGATCATAACAGCCATAACAACACAAGCAACACTGACAACAACACAAGAAACAACACAAACAACAATGACGACAATATAAGTGATAATAACACGAACAATAATGATAGACGTATTATCAATGATCATGATAATGATAACATAAATAACAACGAAAACAATGGTAACCATGTTACTATTGCACAAGTCATTGTCGATAACCTAATCAACAACGACAGCCATGTTATTTCCAATAATCTTGTCAGTAATGTAAACAACTCAAACAACGACGTTGTTGCTGATCATATCGGTGACAATGATGCAAACTCTATTACCAACTCCAACAACAATAACAGCGACAATAACGATGACCATGTGGATCATGACAATGATAACAACACAATCAATGACAACCTCGTTATCGCAAACTCCATTCATAACAATAACAACAACTCAAACAACAATACCGACAGTGCAAAATTAACTTTATTTTATCGTAACTTAATGAGCTCTTCGTATAAAGAAGACGAATATATAATTAGAAAAATCATTGAAAAAGGAGTCCATCCAGTTGATTCTAATGAAAAAATAAACCTTCTTATTTATTATAAAAATTTTAAGTCGCAACAACTACTAATAAAAAATAGTCCCAACGTTAAACTAGCAACAACACAGCACTCCCACGTCATCTACCAATTTCTATGTCCTCACGAAGACTGTAGGCTTCGTCCATCTTCTTATATTGGAATGACTAACACAAAACTGACACGCCGTTTAACCTGCCATTTGAACATCGGAGCTCCAAATCAACACTACCATGACTGCCACAACCAGCAATTATCCCGCAAAATATTAGAAGATAATACTAAAATATTAATGAAAGACACTAATTTTAACAGACTACAAATTTTAGAATCCCTATTTATTAATATTTATAAACCTAATTTGAACAAACAAATTTATTCTAATTTTATTTTACCTTCATCACGAAATGTTTAATTTATTATTATTATTATTAACATAATATTGCACATATAATATATTTTATTATGTTATATTACAAAATAATTGTTTATTATACTTAATTTAACTACTTACGTTATTTAACTTTAATCGTTACGTTACTTTCGCGCTCAACTCTTATTACGCCATCTGACAGTTTATTGTTGTTTTATTTGAATTAATATCAAATTACCTGAAGATGAATTATAAAATTCGAAACGTCACTTAATAAATAATTATATAATGAATATTGGTGTTCTAATTTTTAATTTAAATTATAATTATAAAAAACTAATAAGAAAAATAGAAAATCTTAATAAAAAATTAAATAACAATAATATAAGCATCGCGTTTAATGAAATATGCTTAAATATATATATATTTAGATAGATACATACATACATACATATACACGTACATACACACAATAAATAAATTTATATAGATACATACATACATACATACATATACACATACATACACACAAACAAACATACATACTAGTCTAAATTCAGTAAACTATCAATACGTAGTGCAGTTGTTCACATTATGTTAATAGAAATTTCTTATAAAAAGGAACCCGTTTGTACTGTTGCTAAAAGCTTAAACTTGTTTTGTACTATCTGAAGAGATTATTAGTTAAAGAAAGCCAAAACAGAAAAAGGTTACAAAATTTTAATTTTTCATTTGTTTTTTTTATATTTATAGTTTAATATGAAATGGCTAAATCGGATGTTAAATGTTTCGTTTCAACACATCGAATGCTGTTGCGGCGAAACTAAAAAACTGCAATAAGACTTGTGCATATGTGGTGTTGGTATATTTTTAGAAAATTTGATTTTTGTACGTCGAGTGTGTAAAGCGAATGAACGAGGAATATTCTATGTTGCACTGGCTGTAAAGATTGCAGACAAAATGAAACCAATTAATCATTGAAATAAAATTACGGCTTATTAAGAAAATTTTTTTAAGTTTTATTTTGTATTCTGATTGTAAATAAATTAATTAATATTTGTTTTATTTTTAATGATACAACTTGAATGAATAATAAAATTGAATTAATAAATCATGTGAAACGATATTTTATATCATCGTAAAATTTTAATTTTTTAAAATAGATTACTTTATTGAGTCTTCACTCAGTAAACATAAAAATGACATTTTGCAATGTTCTCGGCCGTCTTGGCAAGAAATATCTACTGGCAGAACGAAAAAGACAATCTTCGATCGAACCTCCAAGAACTTCTTGACGTGGAAGTCGAATGGATGAAATTTAAATCATTACACAGTAAGCATTGATATTTTTTTAAATAAATGCCCACACATTTCAACCGCATATCTGCTTTTGCCTGGAAATACAGGAACGTTTTTTGTTTTTTTATTATTCTTTAAAAATCAGGATCTGACAGACGCAAAAACTGTCACAGCATGCAAGGCAGTTGTATAAAAATAAATGAATAAATAAATAAATAAGTAAAAAACTGAGAAAGAAAAATGTTTAAACATGAAAAGTGTTGACAATAAAATGAAGTAATGGCAGGAAAAGAGAAATTAATAAAGTATGATAATGACTTAGTGAGTAGGTGAGGTGATCGATAACTTTTTTTTTATTATTTAAAATCAGGATCTGACAGACGCAGAAACTGTAACAACATGCAAGGCAGTAAAACAAAATTAAACAAATAAGTGAGAAAATAAATACAAAAAGTAAGGAAGAGAAATGATAAAACATGAAAAATAAATTATGTTAGAATAAAATAAGAAAAATAATAATAAGAGAAATAAAAGAAAAGTAATTGACGATGGAATATAAAATGAAGTAACGGCAAATTGATAGACTAGATGATGACTTAGTGAGGTGATCGATAAAAATAAAGGCTAGACCTGTGTGTGAAAAAGTTTTAATGAGTATTAATATATTTGATGACATATTAATAGACTAAATGATGACTTAGTGAGTTAGTGAGGTGATCGATAAAAGTGAGGTAATCAATATGTAAAAACTTGTTCAGTAGTGATGAAGTTTTCTTAAGTGCTAATATGTTTGAGGTGTCTTGTGATGAAGGTCTTTTCCTGACATGTAAATTGGGAGGTGACTTGATATTTATGCTTGCGTTGACAAAGGTTGTGTGTAGTAGTTTTGATTGGTTGTATTAGAGGATTGACGTGGTTGTTGTTATTTTCAACTTTCTTGAACAGTCTTGAATCGAATGTGTTGAATATTTGAGTGACGGTAGGATATGATGCAGGTAAATAGTTGAGGCAGATTAGTTTTTTGATGTGAGATTGTAGTTGCTTAAGTTGTTGTTATGTAGCGAAACCAGACCAGGAGGGAGCTGCATATTTGATGCGTGAGATTTTAAGCGATTCAGTGATGTCGAATAATTTGATGCCTCTGAGACCATGTGAGCGGAGTGTTTTGAGTGCGTAAAATGTTTGAAATCTTTTTGTGATGATGTGATTAATATGAGGTGCTATATAAAGTGTAGAGGTGAATGTGATGCATAATTTTTTTAATTGATTTGTGAGAGTGATTGATGGGTGTTCTATAGGCAATGTTATTCTTTTACGACTATTGTGAATGATGAGTTTGAATGATCTATTGAGATTAAGTAACAGTTTGCATCGTTTTGACCATGTAGTTAATGAGTCGAGTTCTGATTGGATGGTCTTTGCGTTAGATGATGGGATGGCAAGGTAGGTGTCGTCGGCGTATTTGATGATTTGATTAGAGCAATGAAGAGTTTTGAGAGTAGAAGCATTGATGATAAAAGTTGATGGTCGAAGGTCAGAACCGTGAACTACGAAAGAATTAATAGGTAGAGTAGATAAAAGAGTAGAGCTAAAGAAAATAGAATGACTCCTATTAGAAAGAAAATTTATTATAATATTGTAAATGTTGTCAGGTAGAAAAAGAGTGACTAACTAATTTGAAAGTGAGAAGTGATTGAGAGTGTCAAAAGCTTTAGAAAAGTCGAGAGCAATAAGATGAACATAGTTATTATTTTTAAGGAAAGATGTTATTGTGGAAGTGAGAGAGATGATGGCGGATGTAGATGAACCTGTAGGGCAAAATGCAAACTGATCTTGTAATAGTGGTTTGATGGATGGATGGATGGTTGAAACATGGATAGATGAAAGACCTAACGATGAATTTAAAAAAAAAATTTTTTTTGGTGCACGTCAATGAATGAAAATACGAACAACATAATAAAAGATATATAGATAATATATGTTTAACATTGTAAGTGGTTCTGCGTATGTCAGAGCTGCAATAATAAAGGATTAAAATAAAAAGCTGAATTGATGATTCTATAAAATTTATCAAAACAGTGCTGAAAAAATTGTTGATAGGGTTAGTTATGACCGTATTATCATTAATATTGTTATTAATATTATTATTATCATAGGCACTTTTGTTAATATTATTATTATAGTTTCAAGTACGTTAGGTTTAGATGTGAACGAAAGCGTTATTATTGTTAATTGCATGGAATTGTTATACAAATTAGTAAACCTTATTGGATGCAATAGAATTATTTGAAAAATAAAATATCTAAGATGGAGATTAAAATGAAAATATTATTATATTAATATTAATCTTCTTTTTCTCCATATTTTATCATTTATTTTAGAAATATCTTTTTTTCATTTCTTTTAAAAGTTGACACAAAAGGTTTTATTTTCATGTTTTACAAGTTCAGATTGTTATATTCTTAATATTTGAAATATCTTAAAAGTTTAGGTAGTTATATTCTTGATATAAGACTGTAACAATATTTGTGAATTAAACTTGATGCACAATGCTAGCTATACTGAAGTTAGCATGTTTTTATTTCAATTTGGGACTGGAAGAATGAAAGAAACAAAAAATGCAAACAAAAAGTTAAAAATTTTAGACTAAGAAGAATGAAAAAAGCAAAAAAAGCAAAAAGAAGTTAAAAAAAGAAGTGATAACGTTAGGGGTTGAAAATTGATGGAATCATTTTTGTGANATGATATAGATAATAAAACAAACTCTAAAACTAAGATTTATTGGT